AACAAAGCTTCTCAGAAGTGAACACCACTCTATGTGTCTGACATATGCCAAAAGCTGTTCTCAGTGGAGACCAGCTTAAGAGATTTCAAATTGGCTTGGTCAGAGTGAAAATCACTTGTAAGAGCACTGCTTACAAACCGTTTAGACTTTCAGGTCAGTAGTTTGCTGCAGAAATGCTCCAGACCCTGCATATTCAAGCACAACATGCTAGATTTTACTAAGTTCTTCTCTCCCTCTGTTGCTGACCACCGGTGTGCTGATGTTCACATCAGCACACCGGTGCTGGAGGTAATGGAGGACTGTTGGTGCAGCTATGTTCTGTGTTGTTTTCAGATGAGGGAAACAAATCATCTTACCCATGGGATATGCTGATTGTCATGCCTGCAATGCAGGCAGCTTCCTTCCCCTGCTTACAGAAAAGCATGCCAAATTTGTGTCAGTGATTCTTTCCATTCCAGCCTCTTGCAATCCAAAAACATTTTCAAAATAAAAATGACAATGCTGGTGAGGATGAACTTTGACAGCAGTATAATGAAACGTGTGGGAGGAAGCACTCAATCTGCAGACTTTGAAAGAAAATCTAATTCCACCTCCAGCCCTGCAAGATGTGGTATTGGACCAAGGACTTTCAGTACAAGTAGCAACAGTGTACAGTCTAATTCATGCATGGTGAGAATAATCCCTTCTGCTGCATGCAATATTGATACTCCAGGGTTTTCTCCATCTGTTGTCACGTATGCTTGAAGTGTAACCTCTTTGAGGCAGGAATTCACTTTATTGTTTCATGCATTTACTGTGCCTAGCAAGTCAGACACTGTTAGGGGGATATAATTACCACTGTAGGACAAATAACACTTCTTTTTTTTTTTGCAATTTTATACATTACCAGTTCAAAGTTCATATACAGGAAAAATAACCCTTTTTTTTTTTTTTTTTTTTTTTCTTGGTGAAGCCACAGGAACGAAGGGATAATAATATCACTCCTAGGTGTATAAAGTACTTCCTAAAAATAGATATATTTTTTGTAACTGGATGCAGGTATAAAAGTTACCTCATTACATTAATGAAGGTCCAGATTTTCACATAATATAACTTGTGGAAATCTTCTGACAAATGTACCAAACAGCAGCAGCAGAAGAAGAGACTTTCTGTACTAGTAGGAAGACAAAAACTATAATCATCGTACCTATGGTGAAGGTGGGAGAAGGAAACCAGCTCCCTGACAGCCCTCGGCTCTGAGGGCACATGCCATCAGTGTGATTTCTAAAACATGACCTCTCAAAACTGTCACCTCGGCCCAGGCAGAAGCGTCCACTGCTTTGTCCCCTTGTCCCAGAAGCTGGACTGCATTTCTACAGCATTCCCGTTTGTAATCCTGCTGTGGTAAAGAAGGTGGCTCACATGATCGTGTCAGTGTTGGTCTGTAGCTTTTCAGGTGAAATTTTTTTAAGTCAGACATATTAATGACTGGAAGGAGCAAAGAAAGGGGTGATGGACTTTCCTCTGCTTCACGTAAGAAAAGGGTAGTTGTTGGTTTTGAAGAAATTCTCTGGGCTTCTAAATATAAAATTAGAGGATTTAATGACCCCTTGTGGACCTTATGTGCTACCCATATTAAATATTTATCAAAGATTAAGAAGTAGGTGCACAAAGGGAAGTTTCTGTCTCTATAGAGCAACTTCTAGAAGAAACTTTGATCTAAGGCTTTTTGTCCTCTTGGTGTACTGAGTATCCTCAACAATTAATTCCAGCTGGTTTATTTTAGCTTATTAGTAGGTGATAGGTAAGACATAGATTAGACTCATGTTTGCATGTTTACTTATCCTTTATTGTCCTGCTAAAGACCTGAACCCTGGCTTGTATCAGGAGTGGTGTGGCCAGCAGGAGCAGGGCAGGGACCGTGCCCCTGTGCTGGGCACTGGGGGGGCCGCCCCTCGAATGCTGGGGTCAGGGTTGGGCCCCTCCCTCCCCGAAGGACCTGGGGGGGCTGGAGTGTGTCCAGAGAAGGGTAATGCGAATTGGGGAGGGGTCTGGAGCCCTTATCACTCCCTACAACTGCCTGAGAGGAGGGGGGAGTCGGGGGGGGGGGGG